CAGAAGACAATTGGAAAAATCAGAAGATTTACAGCCAGTGAATTAGTAGGACAGCAGCCACACTAAAATACATTGATTTTAAGGGATTATCATCAATTAAAAAAAAAAAAAAAGAAAGGAGAGAACACTTATTGAGGGCTACTTCCTTTTAAATGCTGAAAATTACCTTCTGTGTTTTACTTTTTGGCTAGCTTAAAAGAAATTCTGCATGTGCCTTTGTAGCCTAATCTAAAATTCCCAGTATTTCAAAAACTACCTGACCACAAAGAGCCAGCCAAAGCCTAGATACAGTGAAAAGAAAAAAAAAGGCAAACACAAACCATTCTTATATTATTACTGTACAGTCACTGATGCCAACATGTTTTAAAATAACATTTTGTTGCTTACAAACAGACTATCGCTAGGGGTGAGACATATCACTATGCGCTTTTTTATATGGAGAGGGGAATATTCAGTAACTGGCCCATGATTCTACTTAAAGATGATCGTGCCCCTCATTCACCTGTGAGTGGATAATTCCCAGCAGCAGCAACAGGCACCTTAGAGTACGCTGCCTTTCAAAATATTCAGACAAGTGAACCCATACCAAAGAAGCCAGGTGACTGACTGACTGAAGCAGCTTGTCAGCAACTGCAGTCGCTCTCCATTCTGCTCTACCAAGATGCCTCAGCCTTGATCTGGGGGTCTGGTAGAAGACTCAATTATTTAACATCTCCGCATTTCACAACATCAGCCAGCTTCAGCTCACCATAGCCCCTCTGTCAGCGCAAGTCATAGCAGTGGCTTTTGCGGTACGGATCCATCTCATCCAGGGGTTGAAGCCAACAATTGTATTTCCAGATAACGTTCCCGAGGAGCCATTACCAAGACTCTGGATTACTCACAAGCCTGGCCTAACATCTAATTAGGCCCCAGAAGCCAGAAAATCTGACTGGCTCAGAAGATTGCTCGTATCCCATTACCAATCTGTCTTCACTTCTCTGAACAGCAGCAAGAACTTCAGCAGCCAGAAATGAACAATTTATCAATCAGGGAGTCAAGTTTGACAGGAACTAATGTCTTGGTAAATAGTACAGACCTTTCTTAAAAGGATCAATCTGTTATGCTCTTACAATTTTTAATGAAGTGAAGTTAAGGGTAGCTTACTTATTTCTTTTCCATAATTTCCTTTACTTTCACCTCCATAGGTCATTGTACCAGCCCCCTTCATTATGCAACTCATATTACTACTTATATATATGAGGCTCATGTCTGAGATCAGGATACAACAACCAACCAACCTAGTTGTTGGAAACCTCTACAGAAATCAAAGCAGCTTTTAGCAGCACAAGCGTTCTGGATTATCAGTAAATTTAAGGACCATGCTCTCTCTGAAAACATGCTGTGTTAAGCAACTCTTATAAGCCTTTTCACACTTAAAAGGAAAAGGTTAGCATACAAATGGCTCATCCTTCAGTGAAACATAGCCAGCCGATACACAGCAAGTAACTGGGTAGAATACCCATAGGTTGACTTTAGCTGATAAAGAGTTAACTATTGTTAAGCAACTGATATGTTAACAAGAGATACCAAAACAGATAGCTCTGTGATTACCGCTAGTCAACCTGCACAGCATCAAAACTGAGAACTGGAATGGTATACTGCCTTGATATATTGTATTTAGGTTGATCCAACATATAAATCCTAAATACAAGCTCTTTCACCTTAAAAACAGAACAATCCCCTCTATCTAACTTCTTTTACAGAATCTGAAAAAAAAGGCTTTTTAAAATTCTTCATCTATTTCTTCAGCATTTAAATTGAGCCAAAAAGCCCATGATAATATTTCTAAAACTTGTGAAGGCAGTGGGATAGAACTAACATATTCCCATGCCTGAACTCAGGTTTAACTACTTGAACTCAAATCACACATCTTCAAATCCCTAATGATTGAACTGATAGCATCAATTATCTAAAAGACTGTATCCAATGAAACAGAGCTTTCTGACATTTTCATGGTACATGATATTGCATTCACATTAGGAAAGCGCTGGTTCTGCAAGAAATATTGATAGGTGTACAAGGAATGATTTGGAGTGATGTGGAACATCCTGTCTTCCATAATCAATAGAGAATATTTTCCAGCACCACTCAAAGCTCTGTTTTTTGCCCTCCCTCCCCCCCTTTAAAGGTGTAGTTTAATGTTATCTCTGAAGTTAATTAACAGGAGTATAAAATACCTCACAGCACTCTCCTTTAAAAGAAAATATACCAGGGAAAGAAACACTTGGTAACACTGTAGTCTATCACTGTATTTCATCTTTCATAGAAAAATGCTCAAGAGCATTATTTTTCTTAATGTGCTGTAGGCTAAAAATGAACCCTCAAGGGTTTCTATTGCTCTTCTTGTTGCCAGAGCAACAAAGCAATACTCACCTGAATATCTGCCAGTGTAAGTATCAATTTACAAGCTGAGATGAAGTTTGTGCTGCTAGCAGATGTCGCTAACAGCATTTTTATATAAGCCAAATTTTAGTGGCAAGGGATGCCATGAAAACCCAAGAATATATTACTATTGCACTTGTGCTACTTGATTATTGCTCATATAATTCAAGTGTTTCTATTAAAATGTCTTGACCAATGACATTCAAAGTGAAAGGGTAAAACTGAATGGCTTTTATATGAAATCTAGCACACTAAAAAGACTTTGTTAAGCAACTCAGAAGAAATCTTGGTTGTCATTAGAAAGCATGCTAGGACCCTTTCCCAATAAATTTCTTCCTAAAACTCTTTGTGGTAAGAAGATAGGAGGGGGTGGGGAGAGGGAAGTAGCTAAGAAACATTTTAAGAGCATACAAGTGTTACTACTTTCTGAATTGAAAAAAGGGCTCATTGTTTACCACTGTATTCATCCAAACATTCACACTGTGTTTCTGTTTGAAACAGGTGACAGAAGCATTACCTCTATCACTATACTGTAGAAGAAGGAATACAACTTTGAAATTATTTGTTATGTGTCAAACCAAACCCAGGAGGACGATATGGAACCGAATCACAGAATTGGAAACATCACTGTCTTTTCAGAGCAAAGTCTATTGCTTTAAGAAAAACTCAAGGGAACTACTACTTGTTATAATATGTACTAAAAATTCTAATTATAAGACATTGAGAGAGTCATATGGAAAATAGAACAGGGAGAAAACACCTAAGCTCTATAGTTTCTTACATTCCTTATAATTCACCATTTTTCTCCCCTTAGAAACTAAGAGGCAGAGAAAGAAGGAAGCAAACTCAAAATTTCCTCCGATTTCCAGCTCGTAATTCCAAGACAAATAATTTTCAGATGTTGGATCACAACACCAATTATTTCACTCTATTCAGCCAAGCAATCTGAAAGTGCAAGAATTAAAAAGGAAAGAAAATCACAGGCACTTCCAGTTATGAAGTGAAATACATGAGTTAGTTTAAAAAAAAACCAACAGTGCTTTATTTTCATACGCATTATGTGCACCTCTGCTAAAGCACCATTCCTGAAAAAAAGAAATCTTTGCTTATTCCATGCAGAGTCAGATGCAGAGGCAGTGTAAATGAGAAAGCTATATGAAGGGATTATAGGCAGAAAATTTTCTAGGCAAGGGATTGGGAGATTCAGAGCTAAGCTTCCTTTTTTTTTTTTCTCCTTGTTTCCCACGCAGATATGCAAACTGCTCTGCTATCGAAATGCAAAGGAATTTTTTTTCCTTTTTTTTTTTTTTTTTTTTTTAACCAAACAGGTAACTAATAGTTACTAGCGACTCCTTAACCTTGCATTGTTTATCTTTCAAATCCACTACGCCAGTGTTATGGAAAAGCAATGGAGGTCCTGCAACACTCACTGACTAGATACAAGAAAAATTGTCCCATCTGCAAAGAAAATACCATGTTCTGACCTCGGCATTAAGATCTACGCTTGCACAACAGAGGTCTGGTCAAATACATTCTTCCCTGCTCTCTCCCACTATTGTTTTCAGTCTTACCACATGTTTGTTTTCAGCCGGTCAGTACACACACTTTTCATTTGATTGACACACCGGTGAAGCTAAACTAAACACCTCAAACTGCTGTTCAAGTTGAAAAACAAGCCAGCCATTAAGACTTCCACTTCACAGTCTGTCAATGAAGGCAGATACTTTTCCCTTGAACTTCTAGGCTGCTGAGCTCAGCCAAAAAAAAGGGTTGTCTTTCTCATTTTGTTGTTTCTTTTTTGTTACACGCTCACCAGGAATACCAAAAGAGATGGCAGAACATGGACCTTAGCTTTATCATCTGTCCATACATAGGCAGACCAGCCTTTTCTAAATATCAGTCATCCTTAACTCAAAGAACCCAACAAACCCCACATTGGGGGGAAAACTGAAAGGATTTTTTTGTGCACCAAAGTGGAAAGTCATGAAGTATTAATTTTTATAAAATCCACTACTTCGAAGCCAAGGAGTTGCATTTGGTTGTATGAAGAGTCTTGTGCTTCAAGACCAGTTCTAAGCCACACGCTTACCAGTGGTAGCATCCTTGTAAATTAAGAGAGGTAGTCTTGTTTTACACTAAGGCTGAACAAGTTTGTTTCCCAGTTTTCACCTCCTCAAACTACTTTGTAATGACACTCAGGAAGGGTGACCCTCTCAAGTGGCAGCAGTGATCTTGAGGAAAAAAAACCACAAACCAACATTTCTTCTTGACCTCACTTGCTTTTCTCTGCTGCTTAAGTCTGACCTTTCTCCCTCCCCCACACCATAAGCACAGTTTCAAAATGAATTGATGTAAACAGAAAGCAGTATTCATTTAATGCAATTAGTAAGAAAGATCATTAAGTTTTTTTCTCTTTTTCTACAGTCAGGGCTCGATTAGTTAGAAAATACTGACAGCTCCTTTTTTTGTGAAAGAGGGATGGACAACTTTGTTCAGACAGTGGAAGAACATCATGGTGTGGTTTTTTCTCTTTTTTTTTTTCCTCCTTTTCTTTTTTTTTTTTTTTCCCCCAAAGAAGGTACTATTGAGAGCATAAAGGCTCATTATACTGCAGTAGCAAATCCAGTACCGTAGCACTTAAGAGGTGGTTAACAGTGCTTTGGTTCAGAATCAGTGTTAGAAAATAAAGCTTAAAAAGTTACGATGCAGGGTATTTGGCGGGATTTCAACAGCAATTTGTAATGAATGTAGAAAGGACTGAGGCATCGGCTTCTTCCCCTTGGCAAAGTACTTTGTTCTTCATTCTGTTTAAGTCCCAGGTTTCACGATCAAGTTTCTCATTTCCATCGATGACGCACTAAGGAGGATTCGTCATTGACCACGTCATTGTCGGTGTAGCGATGCTGACACCGTGGTGGAATAAGCAGCAGGATGATCAGTACAAGGAGGATAATTCCACACAGGCTCATGAGAGCATAGGAGGCAATCCACAACACTGGTTCATGGAAAGAAACACTAGAAACACAGTTGCTTGCAACATCTGCTGTTGTGAAAGGGCCTTCAATCTCAGATACTGGAGAGCCATCAACTTCTGAGAAATGACAAAAAGAAAAACATTAAGTCTATAGACACCATTTAAAAGCAAATAACAAAAGATGTAGCTTAAATACCTATATATCCCTTTTCCTCCATCATCATACATCTCAGCATATTCATGTTTTATTGTATTTCTCATTGCAATAAAAATACTAGTATTCCATATTTATAAAATGGGAATCTGAAGCATAAGGAGACCATGATACTCCCACATCTCCACAGGCTGTCAACGAGAAAGCAGACATTTAAATCAGGTTTCCCACAGCCCAAATTAAAGCCCAAGCCACTGGATCACCTTTTCGCTCTGGACTAACCTTTCTGAAATGTCATTTTAAAAAAGCTTAAAAATCCCACAACACCTACGCTGGAGTAGGTCAGAGCCTGGGCAGTTTTTGTCTGTTTCTGGCATTCGCAACAACTGGAAGAGTACCTCAGATGATTCTTACATCTTCTGTGTTTGCTATCTTCCAGGGTCTTAGGGAGCAGCATGAAGGATCATTAGCTTCATAGATACCTTAAAGGACTGTATCCTAAACACAAGGTGCAGGGTGGAAAGCAGCACAGATATTCTTGTGAGTGGAGGTGAAAATTCAGAAGGAAGAGGAGGTGAGGCAGGAGAGCTGGGTGACAGCTGTACAGAAAAAGGGAACCGTGGAGAGGAAGGTCAATGTCAGGAGTGAGGAGCTGGGACATAAAGGAGCAGTGCAGTTGCACAGGGAGGGAGAAGCTAACCAAGCAGCTCGAAAAATGGAGATGACAAAGCTAAGGCAAGAAGCATGAATAGGTGCCTTGGCAGCTCTGTTTTCGAACAGCCATCCATCTCGGTAACATCACAGACTGTGTGACTTGTTTCATTACCATCACAAACCCCTACTTGTTAAACCAGTATTTGCTAAAAAGGGTTATGCTGCCCATGGTTGTCACAGTAACCGTGGCAAGCACAGCAAAGTTCCCCTGAGTTGTGGACAGGGCTATGCATATTGTAAAGGCAGAGCAAGTGAGTTGCCTAGGGCAACAAAATATTCAGAGCATTTCGTATCTGCAGGTGTGCGGCCAGGGAAGGATGGATACCTTTTAGCTTGCTTGGGGCAACTCGGAGCCTGCAGTTAGTACTGTTTGTGCATTTTAACAAGTCTTTCAAACAGCTGTAATTCACTTCTCTAGTCAGATACTTCATTTGTGTATTTCTTACAAAGGCCTCATTTTTAACCTTCCTGCTTAAGACACACTCTTGCCAAATTGTAAGGGATCCTGCCTACTGAAAACAGTATCTCTTACTTACATATCTTAGACATGACTCCTGAAAGCATGTTTAAAGAGATTAGAATAAAATAACCTTTGGAAAACCTGGGTTTTGGGAAGGCAGGAAGGTGGCCGTTAAGGTTCTTTGTGGAGAAACAAATGCAGAATAGGTGGGCTGCTTTATCTGCAATTTATTGGGAGAGATTTTAGTTGGTATTCAGTCCCTGACCTCCCAACATCTCATATTATTTTAAGGCTTAAGTTTCATTAGACTTAATTCAGCTTAATCACAGGGTGCTGCTGAAAGAGACAGTCTTGCTTGCCCTCACTCCTGTACCTCGCTGCCTCTTTTGTATTGGTGCTAGTGGCTGGTAGGCTGCAAGGAGAGTCAGGGCAACTTGCTGATCTGATGGAAAACCAACCTGTTATAACAAACAAAATGCCCAAATGAGGAATTTTCTGTAGGATCACTCAACTGAACCAACCCCTTCTCCAGCTGCAAGTGTGGGAAGACTCCTTTAGCAGCAATATGCTGCTAGCATGGACTGGGTGAAACCTGAGGCTGCACCCACAAGCACCCTAACACTGGTGAATACCAAACACGTACTGTCTCAACTCATCAGATGGTAATAGACTGGCCCGTGCACCCTATATCGTCAGCATATCTTTGCCAAGACACATAGATGTGGTAAGGAAGCTGCACATTAGTGGACAGACTTGTAAAAGACTACCTAGAAGGTCTGTGGCAGAAATCCATTTTGTTCTGAGTCCCAGTATTGCACTTTGTCTGCCATGCAGTTGTTTCTTCTGGACATCTCAACCCCTCACACCATTTCATCTGTCTCAGTGAAGTCCTGCAGCACAACCAAACTAAACCACATTTAATACTAATGTGAAATGCAAGGCATAAGTACTTCTACTTAGGAATTTAGTATTTTGAAGAAGTGGGAAAAAAAAAAGCGCAGCACAATTTTCCACCTTGGAGATAGCTTTGAAAATAAACAGTCCCTAATTACTCATTATTTGGCTTGAGTACAATAATTACTCCTATTAAAAAAGGCAATACAAAACTGTTGCCATAGTGGCTGACATTTTAAATTACGTTTTGAGAATGCTTGATAGCAGCACAGCCTCTGCTTTCTTCCCTCCAAAAAGAAAAGTTTTCCCTCACCCTCTTTCACCCCAGAGAAACTGAGAGGAAATCAAAAGAGAGGAAATTTGCCTAAATTGTTCAAACAAGCCCTTAACATAAACTAACAGTCACACACAGAGCATATTACACATTAGCTGAATTAGGATATTTTGGCATTTTTTTTTAGAACATCTGGTGGTAGCTACCTACAATAAACTCTTGACCTTGAATAAATGAGGTTTTCTTCATTATTGATCATTACAGGACAAAAATCTGGAAAAATGCTATTTTATAACATTTGTGTAGAACTCAAACACACTCACTCTCACTCACTCACCATCTTGAGTGGTTTGGAAAGGAAGCAAACCTGAAGTTAGATCAAATTTGTCATAAAATTGTAAAGTGCTGGTTGGAAGGGGCCCCTGGAAGTCACCTAGTCCAGCCTCCTACTCAGAGAGCAGGACTGTCACCATCAATAGATCAGGTCAGCTGCAGCTTTATCCAGCCAGGTCTTGCAAAACCCTGAGGATGGAGACCCCATGATCCCTCTGGCCAACCTTCCTCAATGTAATCGGTGGATGTTGCCCTTCGTTACGTAGTTTCACTTGCACTCACCCTTGGCTTGCATTCAATTTAGGGACCACCATAATCCCCAGTTCTTTTTCCGCAGGGCTGCTATTCAGCCAGTCCCTTCCCAGACTGTACGCATGCATGGTGGTTTTCTGCTCGAGGTGCAGAACTTTGCACTTCTGTTCGCTGAAACTCTTGAGGTTTCTGCTGCCCAGTCCTCCAGGTTACCAAGGTCCTCCTGGACTGAAGCTCTGCTATTCATCATGCCATCCATTCTCTCGAGTTTAGTGCCCACAAATTTGGGTGCATTTTGTCTCATGACAGTTTAGTGTAGAAGTCATTTGTGATTACAGTGCTTGGTGCATTTCTTCCCTAAAAAATACCCAAGTCTTACTCCTATGATCTTCTCACTTACTGCAAAAACACTAGGGGTCTAATTCTGCTCGATGCCGAGGTACCTTTAGGTTGCTTCACTAATACTAACTAGTTGATCTGAACATCTTGTCTCAAGGAGGGACCTGATCCAAACCCTTTCCTAGTCATCCTGTAAACAGTAGGTTATCCCTGAAATTATCAACAAGCAACTAGAAACAATTTGAAATTAGTAACAGGCAGAATAAATCTTAAAGGGTTTCACATATTGAGGAAAAAGCAAATGTCTTTTCCTGCTACAATGGAATAGCTTCCTGCAGCCATCTGTCTAACTCTCCTCCCTCTTGGTATATCCTGGAGAATGAAAATGGTGCAAGGAGTATTGTGGGATAAGCCAGTTCTCATCTCTAGCCAAGTCTCAATAGAAACTTGGGAGTTCAATGAAGTTAAGGCTTTTAGTCCTGTTCCCCTCATTTTTGTATTCAGCACATACCCGTTTAACATCTTATAAAAACATGGGCTTAAATTTAGTGTTAACACTCTATTGTAAACAAGAAAGCATAAGTCATTGCAAAGCCACACCAAATGGTCTTATATTTCTCTATTTCTGAAGATTTATGCCACCAGTAATTCAATTTAATTTATGCCCACGAACAGACTAAGAAGCTCCAAATAAACTACATTAATATAGTTGCTATGGAGGACATGGCTGGCCTCCACAGGAAGCCAGTTAGGCAGCTTAATCCCTCACACCGCACTGACGGCTAACCACTCACAGTTGTGGTTTTCTCATGAAAGTAGCGTTAAATATGGAAACCACAAGCTGTGAAGAAGTAAATTCAGAATAACTGGCACATCCAGCAAAATGTCATCTGCCCCATGTGCGTGGAGTCTGACAAATCAGTATATCTTGTCTCAGTCAGTGGCTTGTGCCATCTGATTTCTCAAGAAGCTAAGTTCCCATGATGCTAGGTTAGACATATGCATGAAACATGGACAAAGAAACAAGGAGGAAATGCCTTCTAGCACCAGCTAGGTATCGTCATGTGTCCAAGCTCATGTAAATTCAGATTTCATTTCTATTCAGCAAGCTCAGTTCTTCCTCTCTAGACGAGGTTGGCAGAACTACATGAAGTGGCCAAACTCCATGCATGCATGTAGTAGTATTAACATTAAGGTGTTATTATGGTTCCCTGATTCTTTTTCTCAACAAAGATGTGCTGTCAAAGCAGTTCTTATGAGCAGCTGGCTCGTGTCCCCTGCTGACAACATGTTGGTCAGTATGATCCGTCAAAATGCCCCCTCCCCTCTCCATGAATGGCTGCAGTGTGGCAGGGACAGGAGGCAGCTCTATGCTTGCTAAAATTGCAGTCAGGAAGCACAAGGAAGAATGAAAGGCAGGAAAACCTGGTCTGCAGTATTTGTCTAGTTACACTCTCCTTCCAGATACGTTCAAAATGCGTCTTTCATCACTGCATGGTACCTCATAGAGGTCTTCATTAAGCAACCCACATCAATATCCAGATTTTCTTTCATAGTAAGCTCAAAGATGACAATTTTGAACCCATTAAGAATGCAGACATTAAAAAAAAAGCTTTTAAAAAGCCCTGGAGCTACAACTCAGCTAGCTAGTATCTCTCTTTTTTCCCCTCAACTACTTGGTTGCATTAAGCACTCAAGCGCTTACTGCCCTTACCCTCTCTAACATAAATACTGGGGATTAAAAAAGCACTGTCAGTCGTAGTCCTTTTCTCATCCAAATCTCAGATGATACAGTGTTTTTCAGGGCATAGACCACTTCTATTTGGGACAGAGACTTGCATATGGGTGCACGTCCTTTCTCCCCTCTCCCACTTGTATGTTCTTGTGGTGCCAAGGCAATATCTCAACAACAAGGGGAGGAAACCCCAAAACTTTTGTTTTTAGCTACCCTTGGTGAGATAAGAGAAATCACGAAAAAGCAAGAAAGTTAACCAGCACTGTAAAATCAGCCAAAAATTATGAGCTTTTTCACATTTCCTCAGCAACTAATTAAAAAATTAATGGCTTTCTACTTACACTGAGAGAACAATTTGTTTAGAACCAACACAAACACCACAAGTCTTAATTTGAGTCCCATTTTCATCTTGGCTCTTTCTTTGAGTATTTCTGAGAGGCTGAAAGGGCACAATTTACATTAAGAGAAAAGCGCGGGTAAGGTACTTCACTGCACATAGCAAAAGTTAGTTGAAGAATCCATTTATCCACAAATTAGATCAGGAACTACACAAAAATGAAGCTGCATTAAAAACAGGGACTCATCTCATGTAACTGTTGGGGAAACCGCACACACAGATGTCTTAGAAAGAAGATCTTCTCTCAGAGGGAGCAATGCAGCTAAGGTACCCAGAGCTGAGGCTGATTTACTTCATACCAAAAGACTGTTGCGTGCAATACAGCCTCTTCTTTTCTCCCCTTGAAATGGGAGCTTGGGATTGCTCAAAAATATACCCTTCACACTTCATGAGTAACCATGCTTTTCCTCGTCAGATAAGTGGCAAAGGTGTTTCTCTGAGAGAGCAGGTGTTTCCTCACTTACCAAGTCCTGAACAATATTTCTCTCACCTGCACACGGACTCACTGCAAAGCCCACTCTCCTCTGGGCTCTGTCAAATATTACATAGAAGCCTTCCATGACTGTAGCACCAATAACTAGAGCATTCGTGGAGGAAGAGATGCCGAATCGGTAGCACTGTAAATTGTCTCCTATTCCAAGGATGGGTTGAATATAAAGCTATTTAAAAAAAAAAAAAAAAAGCCAGAGTTTAAGAAGCAACACCACACAGTACTTAGAAGTTCATAACTTTTGATGTTTATATTCAAGCACTCAAGCCCCACTGGAAATAGAGAATGAATAGGGGCAAACAGATTTCTGTACATGACTTAAAACTGGTCAAAGCTTACATGCAGGTAAGAGGTAAAGCTCTTGGATTCTAAGCTTAAATTTGAACACAGTCACTACGTGAAGATATGAGCAAATTCATGACAGCCACTTCTTATTGTATTTTCCATAAGGGAAGGATAGCTGAGAAAAAACTTGGGATATGAACATAAATTAGAGAATAATTTTATTGTTTAAAAAATTATCAGGATGGAATTGATTCAGAGAGCGTTCAGTGTCAGCTTCAAGGCTCTAGATTCATAAATTCAAGTCACATTTTACCCCTTGTCTCCTCAGGGAAGATGAAAGATTGCCAAGCTACATGATCAGTACAGAAAAAGCTTATCATAAGGCTTTAGTATATTTCAAGTTAAAATGTACTTAATAGGTTCATTCTTCTCTTTGCTCCTGACCATCCCCTGTGGTAAAAGACTGCATTAGTAACGTTAGAGGATACTAGCCTGTATTGCAACCTATGCTGGGAGGGGAAGCCAGAGAGGAAAAATAAAAGTGGCACATTATATTCTAAAAGCTGGGATGGAATATTAATAAAAGATAAACCAACCAAGTTACAGAAAGTGGTGACGAGATCACACAGGCTCATTGCCAAGACTGTCATATTCAGAAGAAGTGCTCCAACTCAGAATGCCATGAAAAACAAATCAATTTGCTTCCCAAAATGAGAGGATCAAAATGAGCAGAGACATTCTGTATTGACATCTAATGTGGCTAAAGCTCATGTAAACAAAACAAAAAGTTGCCTATTTTTCCTGACAATTTGAAAAAAATCATTCCCAACTACATGGACTGCACTCAGAGGGAAACTGTGCTTTTCTTTTTTGGTTTTAGGTTTGACAAGTTTGCTATTTTCCCTATTTAAAATTTGATTTTTAAAATTTAATTTGAAAAGATTTCCCTTGCATGCAATAAGCCAGTTATCTATTACTGCTAAAAATAGCTCCTATTTTTTAAGAGGATGTGCTTCCTAATAGTAAAAATAAATGCATAACTGAATAAACAAAGAAGGTTGAGACCTGTGGTAGGATAGAGATCCGAAACGACCTACTGGAGTTTTCATCCCTCAGGTAAATGGAGAGTTTGGGAAATAAGGACCAGGGTCTTTCAGTTTTATCCCAGCATGCAAGCTGTGAACCAGTCCAGAAACCAGAAGAGAATTCTTGTATCTATTAAAACAAACAAACAAACAGTGATACATACAGATTACATACATTCTGATAGATTTTTGTAAATGATCACTACCACTATTCAATACTTCTTCCATTCCCATGGAGATATTCAAGCATGAACACAAGTCTGACAAAGAGCTTTTTCTTTAAGGATCAAAGCAAAAACCCAACACACAAATCAAGGTGCATCATAACCCATTATGACTTGGAAGAAGGGTGAAGATGTAAAAGCAAGTTTAGCTCTCCCTTCCCTCCCTATTTGTGTCTCATTACTTCCACTTCTGCAATGAACATGTATGACCTCCCTGAGCAATTAGTACTGCAAAGAGGCAAAGCATCAACGGGCTTTTACTACCTGCCTACCTCTTCTCTGAACAGCTCTGACCAAACACCAACGTTTTGAAGCAGCAGACATTCTTTTAAGAACACAAACCAAAATACAAACCACATGAATATGTAATGGAGTCATCTCCCTTCCTCACATACCTACAGCTTCTTACTCAACTTTAGGGTTTTGAAGCCAAGGGCTAAGCCAAAATCTCCTGGCATCTAAGGGAATCAAGGTCTGCCACAGTCAATGGAAAGAAACACGTCCCTCTGTCTCTTTTGCTGCCCTGCCACTCACTACCAGTACAACTTGACATGCTTTTGAAATAAGGTTGATTAACAGTACTTCTTAATATATCCATGGTACTAACACAGCAATAAGCAAACCCCTACAGAGCTTGTTTGCCTAAGACAAACATCTTGTCTAATGTTCATGCTCCCTGAAGCTGATCTGCTGCCAGATCAGAGGAAAAATCTTCCTTATTTGAGTGCATTACTTTGTGCTGGTTCTTATTCCCACGTGAAGCAACATCCAAGGCAGTATCTTGTTCTGACGCTGCAGAGCCAAAGCCTCCCATTTGGGTGAAGAAGAAAGATGGAATCCAGCCTCTCCACTCCCCTCATTTGTATTTATCTGTGATATCGATTATTTTGTAAACATCAGCTCATACATTAGTTATATGGCATTTTACAGGTGACAGGTATTCACTCCACCCCACATTCCTGCCAATGAAATATTTGTTAGGGCTGCACAGTATTAAAGCCTTAATACTTCCAGGTCCTCATCTCTGTTCTTGGGCCAACAAGCATACGTACACTGATGTAAACACACAATGAGACTTACTGTCACAAACAGACTGCTTTTACCCTTAATTCTCAATGCACACTTAAGTACACCTCTTGGCACAGTACAGTACGCTCTGCCCCTCACAGCTAAGTCCCAGGCCAGACCTGCTGAAAAACATAGTTCTCCTCTCTTTCCATTTTCTCTTGGAAAGCAGAGCTTGTGATCTGAGAAAGACTGCAAGATAGCACCCAGACTGGACAGACCAAGTCTATAAAGTGCTCTATTTTAAGTGCCTACTTTCATTTCCCAGAAAGACTGCTTATTACATTGCATTTCTTTGCCTTATTTCTGTACACTGAAGAAATGCATTGGGGGGGGATTTGGCTGTATGATACCTAAAAGGTTAAAAGATTTTAGATTTATTTGAGCCTTCCTTTCTTCAACTTATTAACTTAGCATTATATTAATGCTGTGAGTAGACATGCTGTTCTGGCTTCAGCTCAGTGAGGTGTAGTAGCTGCCACCTGTAGTAGCTGTGGCTCATCTCTGCCCATCTGCCAAAACCATCACCCTTCAGACCTGCCAACATCAAACTGCATCTATAGCTGCTCCCTAAAAGACTTCAGTCCAAATAAGTAAGGTTTAAAAAACAGTCTGCACCACTAAAGAGCATAAAGCTCACAGCCTTGGTTTTTAATGGAGCTGAATAAAGGAATGCTTCACATGCAGTTATCCCAGCATACCTGAGGGGGCAATAACGTCTTGCTGGGAAGCTCATAACAAGCTGCTAGGAGCAGGAACTTGTTAACCTAGTTCACCTGTGGTCAGAGAAGTATGTCTGACTACAGCAGATGATTTTATGTTTCAGTGGTACATAGCCTGCCGGAAGCACAGAGCGCTAAGAGTATGGTTGTGATGCCATGGTACAATTGTTGAAAATACCCATTTTCCTGACATTGCTCCTAAACAGGTAGAATGTGATCCTTACATCTTGCAACTACTTTCTTATTTAATAGACTATCTCCTTTGTTTAGAGCTGTGAAAGTAATTTTTGGTGTGTGTGGAGGGAAAAGGGTACAGCAGCAAGGTCCTTGAGATCTAAAAAGAAACCCTAAAAGAGAAGAGTTAGTTTATGCATTTTTAATATGAAGAACAGAAACCATTAAGCAGAGCGAGCGAGTGGTTCCCCTCTAATACTTATTGATCAGTTGACTATTTACTTGTCATGTGGAAGGCCCTAGTTCAAATCTCCTGAACAACATCAGAGAGGAGCGTGGACCGCTGTGACCCACTTCACAGGAGGATGCCCTATCCGCAAGGTGCCGTTACAAGAGCTGTTGGGTAGGCTTCTTTCAATTCCCCCACCATCGACCGAAATTGTTCCAGTCAATACTTAAGTGCTTTGCAAAGAGAAGAACTTTTCAACCAGGGAAGCTGAGCTACTAAGATAACTGGTACATTTATTTCAGATACTGGACATGTGCAGGCAGTGAAGAACACTTCGTGCCAAATCTCTGCTCTCAATCAGGTAGGAAAAGGATCTCAGTCTTGACTTATCAGCATACAGGCAAATACTCTGTCTTTTGGACAGCTGGCCAATAGTCCGGTTACTGTATTTCCTGTGATTTGCAATGACTACTGCTGTCTGATTGTGAATCCATGGCAAAAATATCAAAATTGTTCACATTGAGATATCTGGGATTTATTCTTCATCTTTAACCTTCTTGGCGCTGTTCCCTGTATTCAACCAAAACTTATGAATAGATTTTAGTAACTAGAAAATGCTGCTTCAGTTACTCTACACTCAGAGAAATCCACCATCCCCATGCCCTACTTCTAAAGCCCTCTCTATTTCCAAAGAAAGACGCTTTTAAACATAAATAATTCAATAATGAAGGTCAAAAGCAGCTTTATTAATATGAATAATCCTAATGAATGGCATCCACTCTATACAACAATAAGCATTATACTTGGAAAAGAACTGCTTGCAGTAGCAGGTTCTTCTACTTTATAAACACTCCATTTTGAATGAAAGGACTGATTTTTGCAGTCTTAATACTTTGAATCAGAGCAACAGGGATTATGTCCATGTTTCTGAAATGCTTAGAACAAAATATTCCATCTCTGCACTATTTCTGACGCATTTCCATACACAAACTTCTTGTCTGTACTTGGATCCCCCTTTTCCCTCCTCCCTTTCCCTTTTCCTCTCTTCCTTTCCCTTTTCCGTTTCCATCAAAGATGATCAGTCATTTCTCACTTATTAACAGGAGTAGACCAGGAAAGATTCTGCTCCCCTCAGGTTAAAACCCTATGACTTACGAGGTAGATAGCAAAGGTGACACTCCTTTCAAAGATCATGTGATCATTTAATAGGAATTTAACATTTTGAGCAGATTTAATGACATTAGCTTACCAGGGACGTGCGAGCTATTGCTTGCACAACAGCACTGAAGACTTTCTGGGGGAGACGGAGAAGCGTGGTCCCACTGTCTACTATTGCTTTATCGGCATTATACTAGGGAGGGGGGAAAAAAGGTGAGAAGTTACACACTGTAGTTAATGTAATGCAGATTCCACTGTTTCATAACAATAACAAAGCTGTTCCTTTTTGGTAGCTCTCCTCCCAAACCTGCATGTCATACCTGTCAGCAGCTCACTTTAATTGATAACTTGAATTCAAAAGAAGTCTGAGAACAAAAGCAAGATACGGTCAGCCTAGACGCAAGAGAGAGTTTACCTGGACCACTCAGGAAATTACTGCGTGTCATGGCAGCTGTTGCAAATGTCCAGACCACTGTAAAAAGAAGTAAAGCCCAGCCCCTTTCAGAGGTGTGATCTAATCCACTTTACTGCCATACGCTTTGGGGAAAAGCACTCTCACGGTCAGTGCAGGCAGATGCTAAGCACGCTGATGTAGCTTACATATATGTCCAAGCTCTGGATCAAGGTCTCTGCTATTATGAAAACAACTCACTCTAGTTTAAACACAATGTAGCAGCCTACTTTTAATGACTATCTAATTTAAGAATAGTCAGGGAACATTAGGCTTCATTACATGTCATGTTCGGTACTGGCTCAAGAGTACAAATGCCAAAAGCCACACCTTTCTCTCTTGACTGCTGAAAATCACTAAAACACAGACAAAAACAAGTACAAGGAAACCTGAAATTTCCATCTTACTGTCTCAAAATCTGCACTAAAAAAACTAAGCAAACATTTCTCTTCATTATTAAACCCCCAACCCTCAGATGAAGAGATTTCAGCAACCTTCAGATACAGTAAACAAAGAATAAACATTTTAAAAGGTACATCTTTTTTCATGAACTCCTTAAAAACTATGATTAATTGTGGGGGAGAAAAAAAAAAGCAAGTAGCAGTGCAGCTGCTTGCATTAACTACTTTTGTTACCAGCTTAGGCAGCAGGATCAATATAACTGAACATGTTTATGGCATAATCATAAGACAGAAGGTAATATACAGCGTATATTACGTATACGTATATACGTAAAAAGCGTAAGCTTTTTACGAAGAGGCCAAACAGCAAGTGAATTTAAAATACATTGGTTCAGATGTTATCAAGTCACATGGAATATCTTTAGCGCAGGGACAAAAATAAAACCCACCAAAAAGTAAAAAAGTAACTCTTAGTTACTTTCTTTTTGAAAGAAGAGATGCTATAGGCTGCCAAGCAGAGCTGAAAGCAAACAGGAAACCATTTATTATACACTCAGAAATACTTCTAAAGAGTAGAGAGAACTATCAAGACATTGTGAAGTCCATTTTAACAGATTTGTACCACAAATACACAATCACCAACATCCTGGAGAGCCACCCTTGTAAAAAAAGTAGGTAGGAGGCATAGCCAAGAGGGCCAATCACTAACATAAAACCACGCAAAATGCCTGGAGTAGCAGAATCACTCGGCCAGGGACTAAGCACCTGGATTTTCATGCTGTGCACAGTGTACTTGCAGCGGGCAGTAACTTCTTGCCTTGTTAGTCTTCCTGGTTAATATTTAACAGCGCACCCTATGCAGCGTGCACTGCTGGCAGCTCAGCCCTGCTCTGCCAGGCTCAAGGCCACAGCTGTAGTGTAACACTGGACAGATTCCCGGCATTGAAGCGAGGGGACTGCTTTTCCCTTGCAAGGAAAGGAGTAGTCTCTGGTTACGGTTACAAAAAATGTTCCATTTCCTAGAAAACAACTAAGAGGAGAGAGGGCACATAGTTCATCATCCTATACCGTGAATTATGCATCCTCTGCAAGCCCCTAACTAGCCAAACTTTAATCATACTAGCTCTAATTTACTGTTCTTCCTCTAAATTTTTGCGGGAAGATCTCCTTTGATCAAGAAATGAATGATGCCTTCTGTAACAGTGACTAGCACACTGTGCTAATACGTACAATGTGAAAGCAAACGCTGGCTCAGAAAAGAGCGACAATAACAGGAAACTTTCGTAACACCGCTAGGTTTTTCAGTGAGTTGTTTTCTGGAAACAGCATGTATTAAACCATTAGTACAAGGGCTCCTCTTCAAAAACATGTTGACTGTTTTTTAAGGCAAGAAAGAAAAGCAAACACAAACATTTATATTACAGGACCAGCAGTTTTGCTTTTCTAAGAGTATAATAGAAGCATTTAAATAGACCTTGTTTTGCTTATTAAGTTGAAAGACAATATGACGAATTTTAAATATTTTATATGGCAATATGATTTCCATATTTTGTATGGAAATATAATATTTATGCACAAGTAAGATTTTTATAATGAATTTCACTTAATTTGTATGAACTATAAAAACTTTAGAATTACCATGTCCCAATGATTTCCAACTCAGAGAACAAGCGTAAGATAAAATTAAGATGTCTAATGAAAACGGGGCATGAAAATTATAAACTAAAATCAAAACATGAATAGCAACAAGCAACAGTAAGAAACAAATGAAATACACACATACACACATGTCCTCCAGAAAAAAACGAAACAGCTTTGAAATAAAAGCTGCTACAACACAGTCTCATTAGACTGATCCAGAGACAGCAGAACATTATTCCTAATAAAAACAGAAAACGTATCTATCAGGAGTAATAACTGGCAAGGCTGAAGTGAGCAAAAATGGATTAAAAAAATAATTAAAAAAAGGAGGCATAGGATGAGATACTTTGGGAAGGGTCCCAGGATGACACCTGCTCACTGCCATAGTGAATTACATGCTTAGACATCACCACAGGGGTCAATCCAAAATCTTCCCTTTTCTTTGTTTGACCAGAATTGCTTTAAAACCCTTTGGTTTGATTTTAGTGTGTAACAGAAAACCATAAACTGTAGTTGTTTAAAGACTCCTTGAACCACCTTCAGTGGTTAGACACCTTCGTTACAACTGAAACTAGTCAAGAGGCTGAGCCCTTGCAAACCACAGCAGCCTTATTTTCAGTGGATTGTTCGCTTGACAGTTGTAGCTTAGTCCCTAATTTACTGAAAATACTATCAATGACTAAGTCCTCTTTGAAGCAATTTTAACTTGCTTGATGTACACACTGCATTTCACATGGCTCATTCATTTCTTTTCAAACTTACCACACAGCCTTAATTCTCAGAGGAGACTGCAGTACACATCTGCTTGCAAAGACAAAACTGATTAAGTGTTTTTCTTAACCAGACTTGTGTTTTATATAGACAGAATATCGCAAATACCTCTCTGCAGTCCAATTCAAGGTTCTGTCCTCCGACCTCCAGTTTGAGAATTTCAACCTGGTAATACCACTCCTCTTTGATTGGTGTGTACCAAATATCACCCTTGTACAGACTTGGTTCAATTCCACCCAGAACCTAAGGGAAAGGAGAAAAGAATTCACACGCTTTAAAATCCCAGATGTTTAGTTTTGGGGCAAGTACAGGAAAAAAGGGCAATATTTAATCGTGATACACAGAGCAACAAAATTTTAATTTAGCACCATTTGTAAGGATTTTACTGACAAGTTCTTTGTCAATAATAAAGCAGTATGAAACATCTAGACATTAAATAGATCATGCTTCAATCAAACAGAATTCCCATATTGGGCCAAATTACCAGCACCTTCATCTACAGGCTCACACTGATTATCTTATGAAAGCTCCACTGTTTAAAATCAAAACAGTATCTTCAGTGGTTTAATCTAGGCAATGTATGAAAATGGGACAGTATATTAAACTTGCACATCATAAATGGATTTTATCAGATCAGAAAAACCTTAATGCTGCTTAAGAACACTCAATTCTTCTTACACACATCCAAAATGGAATATGACCATCCCATCATTGCTATCACTATTAGATTCCATCAAGACTTACATTGAAGCTGACTGGGAGCATCTTAAGAGAATCGGACTTTGAACTAAACTAACATACGCGAGTTCTCTCTTGGGCTTCATCTATCTCAAGTCCGCTAACATTTACAGTTTGTGAATTTACAGCAAAATAACTATTTGTGATCAACTCCTGTGCTGATATGCTTATTTCAGCATAATTCAGGAACTCATGATCCAAATAAAGGCCAATTCTTGGTCCCACTGAAACTGATGGAAAGAATTCCCAGAGTAACAACAAGGGGAAGACCTGGTCTTCAGATTATTTCCTTTGGTATGTTGTCTACAAAAAAAAAAAAGGAAAAAAGCCTTGATTCCTCTCCTCCTTTTCACATCATGTAAAAAAAACTACTGTAGCATTTTGATGAGTCTGAACAAGCTTAGCAGCTGAGTAAGGGACTACTCAGTTTAAGAAATCTGCCATGAGGAAACACCACAACATTTCTGTTTTTCTTTATTAAAATAAAACTTGAAATGCAGAAGTCTACTCAAAATTGAGAGAGAAAAAAAGAATGGAGAATAAAAATAGACACTTAAGTTTTTGCCTAAATGCTTAACTTTTCCTTAAAAAATAATAAAACATTTTGTATATTTAAACACTAAATTTGGAAGAATTAGGATAGTCATAGAAAAGAGGGAGAGAGATTAACAAAGATACATCTTCCCTCTCAGATTGACAGATACCCACAAGACTACCTCCGTTGGTACCACTTCCAGAAACAGGCAGTCCAGCACCACACATCTGCAAGGAGAAAATGTTGGGGATCTTTGCCTGCCTCACAAGAGAATCAAAGAACGTCTCCACCGAACTTGAAGGCTTGAAGGTGTTGAAAAACAAAACAAAAAAGCAAAAGAATTGCAGAAGTATTCATTAAAAAGTTTCTTTGCAGAAATGAGCAAATCATTCAAACAAGACCACTTTTCACAAGTAAATTGAATTTCTGACAACCAGGTGATGAAAATTCTAGATATAATAAGTCATTAAAAAACCAATATCTGTCATTTCTCTGTTTCTGCTGTTTTTAAAAACATTTTTACTCTTGACCACTGTCATAGAAATCCCTAAAGCACTTGAAACTGCAGTTTTCAAACTCAAATACTAGTTTCAGTTTCAGGCAGAAACTCTCACTGATGCTTTCTGTTGGGAAAAGGCTTTGGGTTATTAGAACAGTCAAATGTAACTTGCCCTTCCCACCTTTCCACAGTTAAAAGGCAGAATTTTAAAGTGAGGATTTTCAGTTTTTAAACATAGTTTAATTCTAATGAACTTTGAATTCAATGGCTCTAATTTCCTCTTCTTTCTTTTAAAGAACTTCATATCCAAGCACACTCACTTCAGCTCACTATGGCCAACAGGTTCTTTCCTACACTGCATGTCATGCTTGTCTGCAGTTATTAGAGTACTGCAATTTCATTGTAATTCAGATTTCCGTGCAGGTACATCTCATGATAGACAGAGACCCTGGCGAGCTTGCGAGGTGCCAAGTGCTCTTACTACACAAAGCACAGAGCAGCCTCAGAAGCCAACAACACTGAAGTCTTTGGAAGAAGGGAAAAATAAATGCCCTGAATACACTCTTTGCCCAAACCAGAGTCTGAGAAGCAGCTCTTCTCTGTCTGTCGACAGTGTATGGCAACAAATATGGCAGAAATCAACACAATGATCACACAACTCTTGAATAAAGCATTTTAATTCCAGAGTCGGCAGGCAGTGTTGAATTGTTTGTTCTAGCGGGATATAACTCAGTTTGTAAATTTCTCAGACAGTTATGTGTATGTTGAAAACTATGACTATATACTACTCCAATTACATTTTCAGTGACTATAAGGTTATAAGTTTTAGACTATAAATTTTAGGTTTTAATTTAAACTTCTACCTGAATTTCCTACCTCCACAAGAACAGGATGTGCTTGGTTCTATGTTGATGAAAACACTGTCGCTAATATTTGTTCTGAAATCATCCATACATGCCCTCCATCTCAACTTTTACTTATGAATGGAGAATGTCTTAGGATGAACTGCCAAGGGCTTTGCCAAGTAAGTTCATTAGTCCATTGACAAGTCTTGAGGGAGATCATCAGAGCCCTAATAAACACCCTCCACACACATACCAGAAGCCTTTACTCCCATACTCTGGTACTACAAGCTCTGTAAAAGCTTATTCATTCCAGAGGAGCTAAAATTGAAGCCTTCATCACCAGAAAAGCCAAAATCCTCACATGGGACTCTGGTACCATCACAACCCAATTTATTCTTTCTTGAACAAACACAAAGGATCAAAAAAAAGTCTAATGCTGACATATCATCTGCTCACTTTATTTTAATAGTTAGATTTCTATTTATTGTCATTGTGAAAGACAACAGCTGGGGAGTGGACGATTTACCTTGGCTAAGGCATCGTAGGCAAGACCAAGAATCCCGTGCCATTTAACCCCTGGTAAGAAGAAATTCTCTGATTCAAGAATGGTAGCAATGTTGATGGTGTAGCTGCCATAGATTCCTTTTGGGATACTAATGACATCTGTACCCAGAACTCCAGTCCAGCTTCCTTGACTGTACTTAACTGTGACATCAATCCCTTGAGATTTGTATGTACTTGACCTTTAAAAGGAAAAGATACACTTATGCATGAGCTGTTTACAATGCAAGACAACAGAATATATTCAATCTCAATTTTTCCCAGAGAGGAAAAAAAGTGAAGTCTGCAAAGTCAATCACATAAACTCACAGAAGAAGGGGGATGGATTGTAAAAGCAGTAAAAAGCTGTAAGAAAAAAAAATCTTGAGGCCCTGTTTTTATCCTGAAGCTATCAATGACTCAAATCTTCACAATGTGTGTCTCTTTTTTTTTTTTTTTTTTTTTTTTTTTAAATCTAAGGTATTATGCCATCTAGTACAATGTGCCCCTGACTCAGACTGATCCATCATAATAGGAGCAATACTCTTTAACTGGAGATGAAATGTATTAAGTGACACTAGGAAATGAAAAGCTTCTGAATTCAAATCTAAAATTGAAATGCCAAACTAACTGAATACCTGTAGACTAACACCTCATTAATATTATTAAAAAATCCATTTTGGGTAAATTGGAATATTATTGTGAGTATCAGCAGTAAGACACAGGTTTTCTAAATCTGCAGTTTGGTCTATCTATCAGGAAGTAAGTCGACTTGGATATTATTAACAAATGATTCACTGACTTGGAGGAGGAAGGGAAGGAGTTCTTTCTAGACCAGGGCACCAAAGGCAAAGGAGCAGTTAAGTATAACAAGCAAAGAAAGAAAAAAAATCCTGTTTAGAAGGCTTAACAAAAACGTTAGAAAAAACATCAATATATTTTTTGTTTTAAAATCCTGTAGTACAAATATAGTAATCATCTTCCACCTGCATCACTACTGAAGAGCTACAAAACTTCTAGATCTCTTACAATTTATTTTGGTCCTATTCCTCGGCATACAGCTTCCCCTTCTGAAGAGACAGATGACCATGCTCGGTTCATCTGAACAGAATTTTAGCTTGACCACTTTTTAAAAAGTAAATTAAAAAAAAAAGTAAGTTTAAAATAATTTCACAACACCACCTTTACATGTGTGTAAAACAATAGAAAGTGATTTATCAAGTGCGGACAGTTTTATCAACCCAGCTTTAATCTAACAGCTGCTCTGACAGAAACTGCCACATGAAGTGGCTTCACAGCCCCCTGTACCTGAGCTCGCCCGAATTAAGTCGGTGCAATTTTGCCTATTATGGGGAACAACCTTCAGATGGCAACGCAGACAACTCCCATCCCTTCGAGCAGACACTTTATCTTGAGGGACAATTTGGCCATATGGACCATGCAACTGATCCTCTTCCTAGCTAAGGGACGGAGGGAGTAGTAAGAGGCCAGGCTCTAACCCTAAGCAGCTCTTGATACTCCCAACACCTAACCCTTCAAGGGTCTTCAGGGCTCAGCAGCTTGTAACCTCCAAGACAGCAGAAATACATGAGATCATAGGCCCCACAGATTATATTTCAAAATGCACGAATTCCAGAGATACTGTTACTACCTATATCTGGTCACTTCTACTGGTACTGCGTAATTCTGCATTTGTATGACACTTAGACAAAGGGACATCTCTGCTTAGGCAGGGTCTTCGGAGTACCACTGTGATACTGGCAGTACATTTTATAAATCAAAATAGAGTCTGAATAATTAGAGACATAAGAGAAACTGGGGGAGGAGAGGGGGGGCAGGAAAAGGAAGGGAAAATACAGGATTCTTCATGTAGAAAAGTGTCTGGCTGTGCAACAGAAGAGGAAACATCTGAAACCAGAGAGAAAAGTGAGTGCTGGGAGAATAAAGCGAAGCGAATCTGCAAATACAGATGCTGCATGACTATCGACAGCAGCAGCACATAGCTCTTCTTCCGTAAGTGGTAACAGCCTGATGGATTGAGCTGTGGACCAGGACACAGAAAGACTGGGTTCGTTTTCCAGCGCGGCTGGTGAACTTTCCTGTGGAAAAGCAGGACAAGTCAATTCCTCGCCCTCTGTGCCTCAGCTTCCCCACCTGTAGAAATGGGTATGAGGATACTCATCTCATTTGTAAAGCGCACAAATGTCATATTGAAGAGAAGGCCTTATTATTTCCTTCAAGGAGCAAAACACCTAGTGTGGGAAGGGATCTCACGTGATCCTTGTGGCAGTAATTATATTCTGTTCTGAAAAACCACTTCCTGCTCCGTCTTCTTGACTGCAATCAGCCCGTGTTTTTCCACCTCACTGATCCGAAGGAAGAAAACTTCTTTAGAGGTCAAAACTAGAGACTTGTTCTAATTCATGGGCTGAGTGTTTTAAACAAACACACAGTGCAAAAAATTCCAAATAAGCCGTTGTGGTTACGGTAAGAAAATAAGAAATTCAACTCTTCCGGCAGGACAGAGTGTATCTTAGCCAGAGGCAAGGAAAAAGGCTCCTAGATTATGGTGCTGTAGTGCCACTACTCCCTTCTACCTCTTCTTCCTGGTTACTCCTTCTCTCCAAAGCAGCCAACAGAAACGTGGTCCTCAAACCTTGAATGGATCTCAAGCCTCAGCTGAGAAAACTAGCAACAGGTTCATTTTCTCATGCAGAGTTACTCCTCATTACCAGCATACAGCTGAACAAAACATAGCCAAAATACTATTTCTCATGCCATGCTTCATTTGAAGGAGGCTCATCACAGCAACAGCAAATCCACTACGCAGAAAGCCCTGCTTAACACTGACCTCACCAAACACAAGCAATTCCTTCTTAATTCCATGCTCTCTTGCCACTCTGCAACAAACCAGGACTTCAGATTTTCCTGCTTACCCATTCACTTTTTCCTAAGCCCCAAATCAATGTCTCCACACACAGCAATGGCAAAGAAGGGACAGAAAACAGCAATGGGCAAAAAAATCTGAACAGAAGTTTTGATCTCCTCTCTAGTGATAGATGGATGGCACAAGATAAGTGATTCAGGGCCAACAACTTTAACAAAAAGCAAACTATTCCACAACATAAATTATTGATTTTTAACCAAGAAGTCCCATCTAATTTGCAGGGGTTCTGGAACAAGTCTGGAACAAGTCTCAAACCATAAACTATACAGTGTACACAGCCAAATTCGCAGGATCATACTGCAAAGCAGCAGCTTATTTTTGCTTGCTGGTATATACCTTACTGTATATACCTCAATTTATTGCCCTTAATTTTCTTATCTCCCTATCTCTTGGAATGATCAACTCTTGAGCAATTTGCTTTTGAAACTTTAGATGGTGAGGCAGTAGTACCCTCACTGAAATAAAACTGAATATTGTTGCTGAATACTGACAGCCCTGAGTATGTCATTCTTTCACATACCGCTACAGAGCCATCACTGATAATTTAGTTTCAAGCATAAAAATCCCTTTATACATCTGTTTAAGTAACTCTTTTATCATAAGTAGCATACTCAACAAAAACTACTTGTTATTTTGAACAGCAGAGAAACAAATGCTGTGATTTCTTTTCAGTTTGGGACAAATGATGCCATTTCCCAAAACCTTGTACATCATGGTGACTTATACAGCATGATCATCACAGCAGACTCAGAACTTTTCACAGCAAAGTTTTGTCAGAGCCACTCAAAAGCCCAAGTTGCGAAAAAGTTCATGATAACAGCTTTATTTGTTTTGTACAGAAAAACCCAGATAATTAAACAATAGAATTATATGACATGAATTATACAACACACAACATCATTTAACAAGTTCTAAAATTGCTCAAGGAGGCCTCTTCCTGAACAACACACACTCCTGGTCCTTTGAAACAAAGACAATACCTTTCCTATGCACCCTCCTCAATTTCAGTCAAAAAACAATCATGCATTTAATTTCAGATTTTGATCATTTGAATAAAATTAAACTAAGAGTGTGGCAATCAGGAAATTCAGACCCATCACTCTCTTTCTCCAACACAATATTAATATTCTAATACGCACACATCTATAACTCAGTCCCATTAACTTAACAAATTACTAATTGTCCTTTCCCCTCGTCTTCGATTTGCAGTTTATGACTTTGATATGGAACACTTCATGACAACATAGGGAAAAACTGTAGGAATGATTACCAGATGAGAGGAAACCTCTTTATCTAATGTTGAAGTGTTCCACATAGTGTGGAAGAAAAGTGCACATAGGTCATTTATCTTTTACACATAGGTAAAGGTCACTCAGGTAATTTTACAGATCCAGCTGATGTGATATCAAGGCCCCTCTCTACCATCTATGCAAAATCATGGCAACCAGGGAAGGATATCATAAGGCCAGTCTCAAAAAGAGGTGAGCAGCAGGGCCCAAGGAACTGTAGGCCACTGGGCTTCACCTCAGCTCAGGAAAAGCCTCGGAGAACAACCTCCTGGAATCTGTTCCAAAGCACGTGAAGGACAAGAAGGTAATCGTGGACGCTCAACGAGGAATTTCACAGGCGTATCATACCTGACCAACCTCATTGCCTGCCTTCTACAAGATGACTGGCTATGCGGATGAGGAGAGCGCAGTGGCTGTAGCACATCTTGACTTCAGTCAGCCTTTTGACATCATCTCCCATGGCATTCCCATTCGGAAGCTGAGGATGTGGGGCTGAACAAACAGACCACTGTGTGGGCTGAAGATGGGCTGGGCCACTGGGCCCAAAGGGCAGGGACCATTGGCTCAGTATCAGGCTCGTGACAAGCATAGTGCCTGTGCTGGTTTTGGCCGGGATAGAGTTAATTTTGTCCATAGTAGCTAGTATGGGGCTGTGTTTTGGATTTGTGCTGAAAACAGTGTTGATAACATAGAGATGTTTTCATTATCGCTGAGCAGTGCTTACACAGAGCCACGGCCTTTTCAGCTTCTCATGCTCTACTGACTGAGAAGGCTGGAGATACACAAGAAGGTGGGAGGGGGCACAGCCAGGACAGCTGACCCAAACTGGCCAATGGGATATTCCATACCATACGACATCATGCTCAGTATATAAACTAGGAGAAAGCTGGGCGGGGGGCTGCTGGGCATTGGTCAATTGGTGGTGAGCAATTGTTTTTCATTTG